CGGGTAAGGGCGAATCTACGGTATGGGCGCAACACCGCAGCTTCTTCCGCTCTCAAGGCAGACAGCGTGATCCAAGGGAGGCGTTTATGGTGGACCTTTTACGTGCAATCACCCAATGGCGCGACGAAGGGTGCGAAGTGATCGTGGGCGTGGACGCTAATGAGGATGTCTCCTCATACCAGGATTCCTCTTTTCGCCAGCAACTTTCAAGGCTCATTTTGGCCAACGCCCCGGCACTCTATGCATTCTCTGGCAAGACATTTTGAATTGTACAAACGAAGACTTGAGGCTTGGCCCATCTGACAGGAGCAAGGAGGAGCTTAAGCGATTGCTAGTTGCAATCCACTCCCTTGCCTCAGCTACTGGGATAAGCACACAAAGGGACCAAGACAACAACCTATGGCACTGGGTGAAAGTTCTTTGGGCACTGGAAGCAAAGGTGATCAGCTGGTCGGAGAAAGAGTACAAACAAAAGAACTATGGTCCAGGGAGAAAATTTTTCTTGAATAAACTAGATCCATACCTTTTTACGTACCTACACTGTGTGACTTTGCCTACAATGTGTGACTCTGGTTTTTTTACCGCGATAACGTTTTTCTAACAGCAATCTTTTTCCGCAGTCATTGTTGTGCAAATCGATGACACATCAAGTTGTTCCGTTAGTTTGTTTCGGAACATCTGTGAAAAATACACAGAGATTTCGGAACATCTGTGAAAAATTCACAGAGATTTCGGAACATCTGTGAAAAATTCACAGAATTTTTGACTCAGACGATAGAAAATTTACAGAATTTTTGACTCAGACGACCGTGGAAAAAAGTCTACGACTAGTTTTACATAGTGCAGCCATAAATGTTATATTCCTAGCTGAACCCACTATTCGCCACAATTTCGACATTTCGGAACATCTGTGAAGACCCTTAAAAAACCTGTGAAAAATTCACAGAAGTTTCGGAACATCTGTGAAAAATTCACAGAGATTTCGGAACATCTGTGAAAAATTCACAGAATTTTTGACCCAGACGACCAAGCATTGCTTGCGAACAACATTAACCGTTTTTTCCTCTACGGAAGTTGTGTGGTGCTTTTACGAAAGGGCATGCGTGCACGCATGTCAGCTGAACGTCTGTTGAAACTTCACGGCAATTTCGGAACATCTGTGAAGACCCTTAAAAAACCTGTGAAAAATTCACAGAGATTTCGGAACATCTGTTGGTCATTCACAGAGATTTCGGAACATCTGTGAAAAATTCACAGAATTTTTGACTCAGAGGACAAAAAGAATAGTCAATTAGGGGAACTATCTGTAATTTAATGAACTACGACCAAAACGCGACGATCACCGACCAAGAATGAATTCCACGAGCAGTGATGATGTCGGATCACAGATCCCCGTGCAGAAGGAGTGAGCAAGCCGGTCAGGCCCCGATTCCGGTTCAGATTCACACCAAAATGCGGAATATCCCTGACTGGCGAATTGGAAGCCTTACGCCGTCTGGAGCCGGATGAGGCAGAGAAAACCTTGGGGGTCATGTTGGCCCCATTGGAAGATCAACATGCTCACGTCGTCCATCTCAAGAGTATCGCTAAAAAGTGGGCTGAGCAAGTGCGATCGGGGCATCTACACAAATACAACGTCATTCCCCTTATCAAGACAACAGTGATGAAATCCCTGGAATATCCTATGGTGTTAACTACACTGGATGCTGCGACATGGGTGTCAATTATGAGTCCTGTTCTCCAAGTCTGCCTGCCGAAGGCCGGCATATGTAGGAGCTTTCCTCGGGACATGGTTCTTGCCCCTCTCAAGTTCCAGGGTCTGGGCATCCCTCATCCGTTTGGTACTCATGTGTCTAAACATATTGAGGTCCTGCTCCGCCACTTGCCCAACCGATTAAAAACTGGGGCGTATATGGAGGCTGTGGTTCAAGAACACTAACTTGAGACCGGCACCTCCTTTGGACTCTTCCAGCAGGACTATAGCAACACGGCAACTTTGGCGTCAGATACTTGGCTCAAAAGAGTCTGGAAAGAGTTGGAGGACATGGATATCTACGTTGCCCTTGACTCGCCTGTCCTCCCTCTCCGGTGCGAAGGCGATGCCTTGCTCATTGAGGTATTCATGGAGTTGGAAGTGGATCAGGACGCTTTAAAGTGGCTCAACTGGTGCCGTATGTTCCTCCAAGTTTGCACCGTCTCCGACATTGTGACGGCGGATGGCCTCAGCATACGAGAGTCCATGTGGCATGGGGAACGTGACTACGCTCATCGGTCGTCATATCAATGGCCTCGCACTGTCCGGCCTAACCGGAACCACTGGAAGGTGTGGCAGGAACACCTTACCCGAGCACTACTTGTCTCTGACGGACCCCAGCGCCTACTGCGTCATCCTCTGGGCCCATGGATCGATCCTCTCGACAACTGGAACTGGTTATGGTCTTCTACCCACGGATTGTTCCACCGCCAGGGCCATGGGTGGCAACACTACCGTCACTGTCGCTCCTCCACACGGAGCATTCAATGGGACTATCCTCGTTCTACGCAATTGTCCGGGTGCAAACGACCACATAACGAGCATACCGCCAACGGTGTCAGCTTCTTGCCAGCCCCCTTTTGGACCCAACCACTCCCAGCTGACTTGTGCCGAGCTACCGTCCACATTACGCCTTCGCTAGGCACTCTAGCCCTCACCGGCATTGGGACAGCACCGCTGCAGCCGCACCACGACTCTCAACCGTCCTTGCTGGCCGCCTGGATGGCCGCCTCAGCCAGGGTGACCGAGTATGTTGGCTGGACCCCTGAAGAAATAGAGATCGATGGCGACGAAAGCCTCCTTGCTGAAGCCCTACTCGAAGACCGGCTGTGTGTGATCAGCGACGGTTCTTATAAGCTCGGTCTGGGCACGGCAGCGGTTCAACTGCTTCCACGTAAGGGTGGCAAGGAACGTATTATTGTTCGGTGCCAGACTCCGGGTCTTCCTGATGACCAGAGCGCGTACCGGAGTGAATTGACTGACCTACTGGCCGGTATCATGGTTGTTGATTGGCTCCTGGACCAGTGGGTTCCAACACTTTGATCACCACCCCGCGTCAGGATTGTGTGCGATGGATTTTTGGCGTTGCTTAACACCTTTAGTGACAATTGAGTCACACCGCAACAAGCCCAGTTTGACCTGGTCTCCTCTATTCGGGAGGCACTTGCCCGCTCCAGGGCCTCGTGAGAACCTAGCCACGTGTAAGGTCACCTTGATCAGGCGACATCCTTTTCCTGCCTCTCTTGGTGGTCCAAACGGAATGTGGAAGTGGATGCGTGGGCGGTTGCTTATTGCCACCAGCTTGAAGCTTCACACCGACTGACTGCACTCAACCCTCGTTTCTTTACCGAATTGGCTGCCCTCTACATGGGTGACGTCAAACAGTCGCGATTGAATCCAGAGCATATTCAGGAACTGGTAGCGTTGCCTGCTCTACGCAAACGATGGCACGAACAGCAGACAATTACACCGGAGGCAGAGCTGGAGACCGATTGGACCAGTCTGGCTCGCGCCATGAGCTCCCTTCCGGCAGGTGTCCAACGTGGGATCACAAAGCATGTTGTGGGGATGTGTGGTGTAGGGAAGTTCAAATTACAGTGGGGTTCCGCAGACTCAGCGGCGTGCCCCTGCTGTGGCAAGTTCGAGGACCACCTTCATGTTCCTCGATGTATGGCGCCCTCGGCGAGTGCGGAATGGGAGCGCCGGACGGCAACGTTGGACCAATGGTTGGACACTCAAGTCACTGACCCAGCCATCAAACACGCTATCCTTCATCTTCTTCAAGGAGTTTGTGATCCGTCCCTTCCTTGCAGTCGGTTGGTCCCGGTTCGTCTTCGCCGCGCTTTCCTCTCCCAACAACGCATCGGCCGCGCTTTCCTCTCCCAACAACGCATCGGCTACCAAGGTTTATTGGAAGGCCGGCTGTCTGTTCAGTGGGCGGCCCTACAGGAACAGTACCTTCAGTCACGAGGGAGCCAACGCTCTCCGACCCTGTGGGTCTCTCGCCTGTCGCATCAGCTGATCTTGCTTGGATTTCATATGTGGGAACACCGGAACTCGGTGCAACATTCGGAGGACAACGTACAGCTACGCGAACGTAGCCGATTGGTGAACGACGGTATACACTCTCAGTTTGATATGGGCCCAACCGACCTCCCTAAGGTAGTTCAACGCATGCTCGCTGTGAAACGCCGAACTGTGTTGAACAAGCCGTTGGTCGATAGGGAAGAGTGGCTGAAGCTGGTCAGAATGGAACGCACGGCCTATCGCCGCGCTCTGGCGCCCCAACGCCGTATCCTTCACCGCTTCTTCCACCCGGCCCAGGCCCCCTGAACCCATTTCGAGGAATCAACGCCCCGAAATCACCCCGCCTTGTCGCAGGTAGAGTTGGGATCCCCTCGATCCTGACTAGAGCAACTTCTGTCCACCAGATGTCTCCAATGGTTCAAACTAGTTGTTGACTCGTCGCTTTACGGTACTTGACCTTTACAGCCGCTTATTCCACCGGCAATTGTATGCGCTAGATAGCATTTAATCGATTAATGTTTCAGTTATTATTATTGACCTTCACGAGGCATTGCATTGTAAGACAAAAGCATAGACACTTCGGCAGCGACATCGATACGACCAAGTTCCACAAGCCAGCGCAGAATACCGATGAGTTGCATGTAGAAAATAGCAGTATCATCATGGACAAAAGGAGTAGAATCAAGTTCCGGCTTGTATCCAGTGGGTAAAGTAGAGTAAACCTTTTTCTTCAAAGTCAATTGCATTGGCGCAATTCGTTTCTTGACAACTCGTAATGACTCTTGTAGGTACGCTTCAGATCCAATAGCCCAGGTGAAATAATCATCACCATCCAATTTGTGCTTTGAGATTGTTGCACCAAGATATGTGGTTGGCTCTTTTATCAAGTCAGGCTTTAAAACAAAGAAATTTGTTGAGTTTGTCCATAATCGCTTCTGGATTCTCCGAGATCGCAATGACATCATCCGTATAAACCAAAATAGACTCATAATATTTCAAACCATCTTTGCGTTGACAAGGACAACGCCAAACATCCATATCTCCACGACATGGTTGGAACCCCAATTGTTCCTTCAAAACGTCTGCACAGAGGCTCCTCCATGCGAATCCGGAACTTTTGAGTCCGTAAACGGCCTTAACCAGGATAGCTTTCTTCCCGGCATACTCTCCAAACTCCTTCCCTAAAATACAATAAACTTTCTCGGCACATTTGGCATTCAGATATGCACCGGAGACGTCAGCACTCAAAACATTCAAACCATTCAAAGCAGCAATAACAAAAGCAAGTCACTTGCATAGGTGACAGACATTGGAGGATCCGTTTGGTCCCCTCTAGCACATATTCGTGCCTTCCGCGTGAGATCCATCTTGACATCAAAAGCAGTCATAAGCTCAATGAGCTGGTATCCGACTGGAACATCTTCATCATCTTCCAGAATCTTCAGAGCTGGTAGAATTGTTTTGACCTCTTTGATCAAGGCATCATTCCAATGTGAGGTACCATTCTGAGCATCAAGTTCATACGCGGAATATTGATGTTGTGTACGATGCAGTAGGGAATAATGCAAGATATCCCAAAGTACTGCATTCAACACAGAATTGTCGTAGAAGTTGAATCGAGTTCTGTAAACAAGGGATTTTCCAAGGGAAAATCGTCGAACTCACTTTTGTGATTGAATCATCATTCAAGCCAAACATTAATCAAATAGGAACAATTTCACTCAAAGTATACCTAGACACAGGAGAACTATTGTCGTGAAAGTGTTGTACAATCGATTACGAATTTAGATTGCAGAGAGTTTGTTCTGAGCGCTAAAGGCACTCACGATAGAGCACATTTTGCTTTATTCTAACAGCAATAGGGATATTCCTTGCATGCATGAATCGAGGGTAAAGTCGACTTCCTTCTCGAATTGTGTCTTCTGTCAGTGCTTGATTAGGATGATGAGGCTCAATAGGATGAATTGGCACTTGTCCTTTGTTAGCAACTTCTCGGAATTTCCCTTGAGTGAGTGACTTGGCATCGTCAGGTATGAGACATTGGGGAAAACCGAACTGACGAAATAGTTGTGTGAGGCTTGTGTGAACATCTGATTCTTTGTTCAACGGATAAGCACGAGCCCACTGTACTGGTGTAGCATAGACCGCGACGCAAGTGTTTCCTTCAGCTGACTTGCAGGGTCCAAACTTAACATCAACATAGACATTTGTTTTCAATCTCGGATACTCCAACTGATATTGTACAGGGCGAAAACGGCGAAACCCTTGAACGACCGACCAATCACGAACGGCACGTTGAGTTGTCTTCTCTAGGGTGCGACGAGCACATTCAATACTGGTTCTCCATCAACGAGCAAGTTGATCAGGCTTGATGAGGTAGGATTTTCCGGAAGTTTTCATCGATCGAATTGTCAAACTGTGTACACCACATACGACATTGTTGCTGTCCCCTAAAACTTGCGGTAAACGATCAAGGCAAGCAGCAGTTGGGAGCGTTGAATCAAGTCGAGTGAAAGATGCGAGTTGGTGATACGGTGCTTGATAGTCAGCATCGATCTGTTGTCGCAGAGCTTCTTCTTGGCGCCGAGAGTCAGGGTCATAAGGCTGCCAAGGAATGTCTGCAGTCATCCAAATAGGTTGAAACTCCATGATATCGTTGATCTCTTCATCTGTAGGTTGGCGACATGTAAAGTAGGAAATTGGTTTGTCGAATAGTAATGGGATCCTTAGACCCGATGTCAAAATAGCATGAGCTTCTCTGTTTCGTTGTTCAGGCCGCAATCGAATTAACGGCACGTCATTTACCACTACGTTGTTGGCACGCAGTTGGTCGACACTGAGTAGATGCGATCCTAGACCAGGGATCAGAAGCACTTCACAGAAATGCAGACAGTAGGTTCGATGATCGAATGGACAGTCAAAGGCAAGACAGACATTCCCAATTTGAACATCGTTGATTTTCAAACCATTGTGAAAACCGGTGTCATTTATTGACTGAGAGGACGTTGAAAGGACGCAACATCCAGCAGGGTCAAAAGCACATGTATCTGCTTGCGAGTCCAGTTCACATTGGTTGGTAAGAGTGTTTGTAGATGATAGCACTGATACCATACGAGAATTTGGGCGAATGCTAGTGAGGGATCCAACAGATGAGGTTCCTAGTCAATCGTCTTCACGATAGTTGCGACGGCGACGACTCATTCCTGCACCTGCCCCACGCCCATCATTGTTATCTTCTTTTGTTTCTTCTTGATCAGCTCGTCCATTATGGACAGCGCTGATACCATGACCACAACCACGACCACCACGGCCTTCACGGCCTTCACGACCTCTTCCGCCACGACCACCACCATTGCGACTGTTACAACGCATTTCTAAACAGATATTTCTTTCTTCTTGCGTAAACTCCTCTCTCCAGATTTGATTTGAATAACCTCCATCATTTAGTAGTATACCATTGCGGCTAAAGCGATCTGGAACATTTGATTGCAGGCGGTTTGAGGCGCCATTTCCTCGGCCACGACCTCCATTTCTCCCATCATATTCCGAAAAAACAAAAATACAAAAGCAACACGCATATCCGGGTCCTACAAACATCACTTTCGGTACTTCGCCTACACAATTTTTCTGTAGCAAAACGAAACTCGCTCCTCCTTTTTGCATCAAAACTGACAATGGGAAAGTCGAAGAACAACAAGAAAGTGGCAATCGCTGCTAAACCTGTTGATTCTACTGCTCTTACTCAGGGTCGCATCAGTTTTTTGCAAAAAAGCCGAGTTGAAACCGCCGAAATTCGATTGAAAAGGGAATCTGACGATTTGGACCCTCCAATCGTCAACAACAACAGCGACACCGAGATGGAGGAGGTCGAGAATCCACTGAAGTACGATCGCATCGTCCAGAACATCGACTCGTCTCAGTGGAACCTGCAAACCCTTGCCTATTTATGCACAATCCACCGTGCTCGTGGTCAACGCAACAATAAAAAAGAAGTGGTCTTTGGAAACAAGCTGTTCTTGGCATGGGAGAACGAGCCCGAT